CCTGGGAGGCCTGCCGCCAGCGCTTTCGGCAGTTCCGCTACAGGGATGCGGGCGGGCCCCATGCGGCCTTCAGCCAGCTCTGGGAGCTCTGCTGCCGCTGGCTGCGGCCGGAGCTGCGCACCAAGGAGCAGATCCTGGAGCTGCTGGTGCTGGAGCAGTTCCTGAGCGTGCTGCCCGGGGGGGTCCAGGACCGGGTGCGGGAGCGGCGCCCCGAGAGTGGCGAGGAAGCTGTTGCCTTGGTGGAGGACCTGCAGAAGCAGCCGGTGAAAGTATGGCCGCAGGTGAGGGGTCCTTCCCACATCCGGGGGGCAGGGGGGCGCAGAGCCAGGGAGCACACCCACAGGAGCAGGTCGTCGCAGGGGCTGCCTGTCTGAAAGACACCGTGCACATGAATCTGGTTTCCTTTCGGTGGCCTTGGCAGGCAGAGCAGGACCGCAGCAGGCATGTTCCAGAAAGGCAGGTCTTAGCGCCACACAAGCTCTGCCAATGTGTATTCATGTTCTGCTCTAGGCCAGGCACTGGGGATACAGTGATGTGCATAGTGAGAGCACCAGGGGGGGCATGAGAAGGTAGAGCTGTACATGTGGACCCTATGGTCTTGTGAGGTGCTGGGTCCTTGACACTGGATGCATCTGGGGAGGTGCTGAGTATCTGGGGTAAGGGTTTCTTCCTTCACAGGGAGGCCCCCCCCCCCCGCTCCACTCCTCCTTGCTAAATGGCTCTGTGATTCTCTCCTTTGGGGGCTGGGTCTTGCCTTGTGTTTGATCAGTGAGTGTCCCCAGGCGCATGGCACTGCCTCGTATCCTCTGGATTTTCCTGGGCCCTGTATTGATCTCTCCCCAAACCCCAGCGTCGTGAGGGACATGTCCCATGTCTCCTTCCCAGGGGTTAAACTCTGTCTTCCCCACCTGGTCTCGGTGCTGATGAACATGTTGTGGTTCCTGCACAGGACGTGCCCTCAGAGGAGGTGGAACCCCAGGCTGCAGTCCAGGGATCTCAGGCCAAGGGACCTCCCCCTAAGGCGGGGGCACAAAACCAGCCACCTGTGCCCCGGGAGCAGCACAGCCATGGTGGTGAGTAAGCCCCTTCCTGGGCTTTGCCCTAAGGGTACCAGGAAGGGTACCTGTTCTGCGAAGCTCAGGCGTGTGTGTGCGTGTGTGTGTGTGTGTGTGGGCATGTGTGTGTACATGTATGTGCACATGGGAGAGTGTGTGGGCTTTCATATCTAGCTTGAGTTGGCCTCTCTGAAGCTTTGTTCTTTTCTTTCAGCCCAGCTTCCTGCTCCTCTGAAGGAGGGGAGTACCAAACAGAAAACGAATGCCTGCTTTGCCTCTGAGATCCATGTAAGTTACCCATCCCTTTGTCCCCGCTGAGACCATTGGTACTGACAACTCTCTGTGGGCCTTTCTCAAAGCCTCTCCATCATCCCTGCTCCTGCTTGGGCCCATCCTGTTCCCCGTCCCAATCCTCTTCTTCTCGGCTGCCAGGCGAGTCCTGAGCAAGGCACCCCTGAGCGGGATGTACCTGTTCTGCGAAGCTCAGGCGTGTGTGTGCGTGTGTGTGTGTGTGTGTGGGCATGTGTGTGTACATGTATGTGCACATGGGAGAGTGTGTGGGCTTTCATATCTAGCTTGAGTTGGCCTCTCTGAAGCTTTGTTCTTTTCTTTCAGCCCAGCTTCCTGCTCCTCTGAAGGAGGGGAGTACCAAACAGAAAACGAATGCCTGCTTTGCCTCTGAGATCCATGTAAGTTACCCATCCCTTTGTCCCCGCTGAGACCATTGGTACTGACAACTCTCTGTGGGCCTTTCTCAAAGCCTCTCCATCATCCCTGTTCCTGCTTGGGCCCATCCTGTTCCCCGTCCCAATCCTCTTCTTCTCGGCTGCCAGGCGAGTCCTGAGCAAGGCACCCCTGAGCGGGATCTCTCACCTCATTTCAGGGGCCTGTGACATTTGGAGACGTTCCCTTCTATTTCTCCCAGGAAGAATGGGGGTCCCTGGACCCTGCTCAGCGGGACCTTTTCTGGGACATAAAGCGGGAAAGCTCCCGGAACGTTGCTGTGGGTAAGCAGTAGGTGCAGCCAGGACCCTGGGAGTCCTCGGTTTCTCTGAGCTGGAGGCAGTAGCCTCCCTGGGGGGTCCCAGCAGCTGAGAGAGGGTCCAGGCAGGCCACACTCCCCTGCACGTCCTGCTGGAATCCTCAGTCTTCCTCCTCACTCCCTCTCAGCTGGCTCCAAAGTGGGCTTTCCCAGCCCGTCTCCAAGAGCCCTGGCTGATTTATTTTTGTGTGTTAATGTTCATTTTTCTTTGCCTTTGAACATGTATTAATATATGGTGGGTGCTTGCAACATGCTAGCACTGGCTGAGCACACATATGGACATTTTCTCATGTGGTTCTCACAGCCCAGCACGTAGAGGTGTTCTCCTTGTTTTATAGACAAGGGACCTGAGACTCAGGTCAGTGGACACCAAAGGAACAGAGCTGGGACTCAGTCCAAATGGTGGTTGCAGGGCCCTCCAGGCTGCCCTGGGAAGAGGTGCTGGCCGTGAAAACACGTGCGGGGCCCCAGGGCCTGGGCCTGTGCGGTAGAGGCCATGCTCCCTGGAACCTCTCCCAGCCAGGACCTTTCTGAGCTCTATGTGGGGGTCATCTCACATAATCCACACGACGCGATGTGGTGGGCTAGGACCCCTCTGGATCCAACTCCGTTCTTGAGCTTAGAAGACAAGAGCATGGCCCAGCGGGGGTGGCTCAGTGGTTGAGGGTCCCCCATGAACCAGGAGATCTGGGCTCGATCCCCAGTAGGGGGCGTGCAGGAAGCAGCTGATCAATGATTCTCTCATCATTGATGATTCTCTCTCTCTCTCTCTCTCTCTCTCTCTCTCTCTCTTCACACTTTCTCTCTGAAACCAATAAAAAAAAGTTTTAAGTTTATAAAAAAAAGAAGACAAGAGCTTGTGTAGTGAGAGGAACCACGGTAGCTGAACCCATGTGAATCCTGTTTCTGATCATGAATAGTGAGAGTTTGGGTCGTTTACGAACTTTACCTTAATCTCTTAAGTTTTGGAGTTTGAATTGCCAGGGCTCAGGAGGGGGGTGTTGGATCCTATTATGGGAGGGAAGCCTAGATTGGTTAGGTGTACACTCGGTGCCTCTGGGGCAGGATCAGCGGACTCCTTGCCTCTGACTCTGCCCCTGCCTCTGCCCTCTCCCCCGGCCTTTTATCATGTCCCCATTTTATGGAGGAGGAAACAGGCTCGGGTCTGTCCAGCCCAGGACTCTGAACCTGACAGCCAAGGTGCTTGCCACTGAGCCCCGTTTCTGCCTTGCCTCAGCTCTGAGCCCAGACCAGATGGGACTGAAGAGCCCACCTCCTCCTCTTCGCTTGCAGGTTTGGGGCTCAAGAACCAAAGGGGGCGATCCCCGCTGGAGGAGGCAGTGAGGGTGCCCCCAGGCCAGGCGGGCAGCGATGTGACTGTGGCCTGGAGCCCCGAGGAGGCCGAACCCTGGGAGAGTGAGGCCCGGCCAGGGGCGCTCTTGGAGCCAGCAGTGGGGGCGACGCGGGGGCGGCCACCCACCTGCAGGCGCCAGTTCCGAGACCTGGCCGCTGAGAAGCCGCACAGCTGCGGCCAGTGCGGCAAGCGCTTCCGCTGGGGCTCGGACCTGGCGCGCCACCAGCGCACGCACACAGGCGAGAAGCCCCACAAGTGCCAGGAGTGCGACAAGCGCTTCCGCAGCTCCTCGGACTTGGTGCGCCACCAGGGCGTGCACACGGGCCAGAAGCCCTTTTCCTGCTCGGAGTGTGGCAAGAGCTTCAGCCGCAGCGCCAACCTGGCGGACCACCAGCGCATCCACACGGGTGAGAAGCCCTTCAGCTGCAGCGACTGCGGCAAGAGCTTCTCGCTGCGCTCCTACCTGCTGGACCACCGGCGCGTGCACACTGGCGAGCGGCCCTTCCGCTGCGGAGAGTGCGACAAGAGCTTCAAGCAGCGCGCCCACCTCATCGCCCACCAGAGCCTGCATGCCAAGATGGCCCAGCCCGTGGGGTGAGGGCTGGAGGGATATTCCGGGAGACGGAGCAGCCAGATGGCCACCCCTCTCCAGCCATCACCCCTACTGCCCTGCTCTTCTCTGCCCCAGGACCTGGTCAACACAACCAAGTAATGGAAATCCCCCGTGACCTCGCAGCCATTCTGGGGATTTCTCTTGCCCTCTGGCCTCCCGGAGCCCCAGCACATTCCTGGCAGGTGGCCTTAGCATGGGAGAAAGACTGGGGCAGCAGGGAAGTGTGAGGATTTGGGCAGGACCCAGGGTCCCCCCCTCCAAGAAACTGCCCTCGGCCTTGCTTGCCCTGTGGCTCTTTGTTCCCTGCCTTGGCTGGGTCCGTGGCCAGGCCCTCTGCCCTGCCAACCTGTGCCTTCCCGTAGGGGTGGAGGACAGGCTCTGACCACTAGTCAGCCCACGCTTGTGAAGATCTGGGCCCTCGGTGAGGCCGAAAGGGCTTTCTGGCCCCCACCCCCTCCCACTTCTGCCCTGACCACTCTGCCCTGTCCTGGCAACACGCTACTGATCTGTACCAACTTCCCCCTCGAGAGCCCACCAGAGCCTCAGCTGAGGCTCGTGGTAGCTCCCGGGACTGGAGGTCTGTGCAGACCAAGATCAGGGCCAGTGGGAGCCCACTGCTCCCACACTCCCCTCCAGAGACGTGGGGTTTACAGTACTTAACACTAGCACTTTGTCACTGAGTCCTTAGGCACTGCATTCCATGTTGTCTGCACCGTCTGCAGATTGGCATTCACAGGGACACACCACAGGCTCTCCAAAGGAGCTCGGCCCAGCCTGCCTCCAAAGGGCAGCAAAAGGGTTTGAATAAATCTGGAAACTTCCTCCAGGCTGTTCTGTTCTTTAGGTGGCTGCTGGGTAGGGAAGCCTAGAATTTGTACCCCTTGGTCTCCTGACCTGGTAGTCCTATTCGCACATGGTGCTGGGTGGTTCCCAGGTAGAGCCACATTCTTGGCTTCCAGGTGAGCTGGGCCCCGAAGGGCAACTATAAGCCTTGCGACTCTGATCCTGCTGTTGGTCAGTGTCTGCCCTGGACTGGGGCCAGTTCAGGATGAGACGCCGGTAGCACCCTTCCCTGTCCCAGCTGACAGGACTTCGGGGTATTTGCCAGGCCATACCCTTCTCCCCATTGGTGAAATGAGGAGACAGGGTTACTGGTCAGGGTGGTGGTGTGCTCATGCTGGTTCCTGTGCTCAAATCCATTAGGGGGAGGGCTGCTGAATCAGGGGGGGGCCTTGCTTCCATCCCCCACATAGCCCTCGACAGCGGACCACTCGCATGCGCAGACCCCGGTTGGGGCCTGCCTGTAGCTGCTGGGCTCATGTCAGCTCCTTCCATCCCTCCTGCGCCCTTCCCAGTGCACCAGGCCTCAGCAGGCTCACTTGGGGAGAGGTGGGGCTGGCTGAGACAAGATATTCCGTTCCTTGGTCTGTGTGCCAGCCGCTCTGCCCCCTGGGCCTTTCCTCAGCCAGTCAATATATTTTATTGACTTCAGAGAGGAAGGGAGAGAGAGAGATAGAAACATCAGTGATGAGAGAGAATCATTGATCGGCTGTCTCCTGCATGCCCCACACTGGGGATCAAGCCCACAACCCGGGCATGTGCCCTGACCGAGAATCGAACCGTGACCTCCTGCTTCATAAATCAATGCTCAACCACTGATCTGGGACAGACCCCTCTTCCCAGATGAAGCAACTGGGGTCTCACCATGGACAGCTGACTCCAGTTGTGGGGGGCGGGGGATTCTGCCTCTGAGACAGTGCCCCTCACTCTCTGTACTTTAATGCTTGAGGCTGCTGTGTGCATGTGTGTGGGCATCCTGCATGAGTAAGTAGGGTGACAGGCGGCAGGAGTAGCGCACAAACTTCTGATGCTGATGATTGGCTCAGAAGAGACACTCGGGTGTAACAAAATCAGACAAGAGGTGGCCCAGGAGCTAAGAATAGGTTTGGGCACAGGCTCCTGGCTTAGGCAGGGGCATGGCAGTGCCAGCCAGGAAGTAGCCTAAGGGGACAGAGTCCGGCTCAGCTCGTAAACAGCTGATAGATCAGAGATCAGGGGGAGGGCAAGTACTGAGACCCAAGGCATTGGTGCTGGGGCCAGGAGGTGAGCTCTGGGCTCAGAGGAAGTGCCCAACCGGCATCCATGGCCTTCCTGGTGTCCGGGACGCTGCGGGTGGCCGCGCAGATAGCAGATGCTCAAGACAGCCTGGGAAGAAAGGTAGTGGGAGGCACTGCCTGGCCCTCCTCACTCCCGGCTCCCAGCAGAGCCCCACCCCGCCCAACTCTGGCCTTGCCTTCCCAGGGGAAGTACAGCGTGCAGGGTCCAAGGGTGGCCTTGACACTCAGCAGCCCTGAGGTATCGGCCTCCACAGTGGCTATCCTGGAGAGTGTATTCCAGACCCTAGGCTTTGAGAGGTGCCAGAGGCGGGAGGCCTCGGTCCAGGTGAGCCCTACCCTGCCTACTGCCTCCACTCTCAGCCCCACCTGGGGCCTCCCCAGACCCAGGCCTCCCTCTTACTCTTGCTCTAGGACTTTCTTGAGGAGCTGACTGGGTTCCGGGAGCAGCTGGATGCCCACGGGGCCCCTATGGGCTGTGTCCTCGTGGCCTTGGTGGCCCCCAATGGGCAGCTGAGGCAGCCACAGAAGTTGGTTCGGGAGCTGAGTGGCTGTGAGGCCCTGCGAGGCTGCCCCAAAGTCTTCCTGCTGCTCTCAAGTGCTCCTGGGGGTGAGTGGCTGGGCAGGGACCCCCACTGTGGGGCAGAGCAGACAGAGTGGGGGTGGGTGGAAGGCCAAGACCTTCCCTCAGGCCAACCTTGTACTTTTCTACCCAGCTGCCCCCAAGCCCGGGACCTTCCTCACTGGCTTGAGTGAACTCTGTGGCCGCTGTCCTCACTGGTCCCTGCTGCAGCTGCTGACAGAGGTGGGAGCCCCAGATGGGGAGTCCCAGGGAGGGGGGTGAGCCTGTGACACAGATTGATTCACGTGCTTCCCACCCGTTCATTCTACAAGACTCTTCTACAGTTCATTGTCTACACACGTGGTAGACATGGCCCCGTCTCTCACCCCCCACCCATGCCCTGCCTCACACCCACTCAGACACTCCAACATCTTCACATCTCCATGCCTTTGCTCCAGCTGCTCCCTCTACTTGCCATGCCCTGCCTGTTGTCCCGGTAAGCCTCATACAGCCCAGGCTGCCAGTGAGAGTCCCTCTCACACTCCCTGAGTCAATCCTTATCCTTCTGCCCACCCCGGTTCACACGCATCCAGGTAGTGACTGTCCCATCAGACTGTAGGTCCCTGGAGGGCGAGGTGGGGAATGATTCTGTTCTAGATCCAACACCCAAAGATCTCACTGGATGGTTGGGTGGCCCTGGGTGATCCTGCAAGTGAGGGGTGAGCCCCAGCTCTGCTCCAGCCTGGTGCCTTTCCTTGAAAGGCAGTGGTTAACGGTATGGCCACTGTAGAACCCATGTCCAGAGAAGCGTATGTCCTTGAACCTGAAATAGAACTCTCCTTGTAGCCTCCCCCGCTTTCATGTGTCTCCTCCCTCTAACTGGCAGAGGAACCCAAAGAGACTATGGTAGCGAGGAGTCTGGTTGGGTCATTCCTTGGAGCCAGGTTCTCTTCCCACCTTGCTCCCATGGAGCAGGCCCTGAGGAACCTGTGGCTCCATCCCCCCAGGTCTTCTGCAGGACAGCTGGAGAGTCCTCGGGTGCCACCTGCTGCCCAGTCCTTCAGAGCTCCTTGCGGGGGGCACTGTGCCTGGGGGACGTGGATCCCTGGGGGCCTGAGGTAAGGGGGCAGGAGGAGTGTCCAACCATGTGGCACAGTGGCAAATGGGACAGAGGCTCAGGGAGACCCGAGGTGGGGGAGACAAGGAGCTGGAAGCCCTGTGACTACGTTCAATGCACCTTGTCTTGTTTATAGCCAGAACCCAGCCCCAGTGCGCAGTATGACCTGTCTAGAGACAGGGCTGCCCTCTTCCTAGCCGTGATCCGGGACCGGCCCGGGGCCCAGCGTGATGTGGAGGCACTGGAGGGCCTGTGCCAGACCCTGGGCTTCGAGACCACCCTGAGGACAGACCCTACAGCCCAGGTGAGGGGAAGCCCAGAACTTCTGGTGCTGCTCTAAAGAAAGGCATACCCCCACCCCGGGCCCTGGGGACTCTCTCCTGGGCCGCTCCCCCGTGGTGGGCAGGAAGGGCAGCCCCAAGTCTAGCCCCCATCCTGCCTGCCGCATGCACTGGGAATCCCTGCCTCTGGAAGCCTGGGCTCCAGGGCTCCTGTGGCTTCCCAGGCTGGCTGTTTGCTCCCCTGATCAAGGCCCCAGTTGGACCCTCAGGTTTTTCCTGGAAGATTCTCAGGTTCCTTCCCAAAGCTCATCAGCTCACTGCCCTCCCCTCATGCCTCTTAACTTTTTTGGCACCAGAGGACCAGCTACAGAGCCAAGCACATGTCTGTCACCTCCAATAAGGCCATGCCAGGCTTTGCAGCAGGGGTTAGAAGGGCTTCCTTCCTGGTCCTGAAGCTGGCAGGAGGTGGGAGGTAGGCTTGGTGGGCTGGAGAAGTCTACCTGGAAGGCTTCCAGGTACTGGGAAGGCAGTGGCCCTGACCCAGGGCTCCTCTCCTGGCACTCCAGGCTTTCCAGGAGGAGCTGGCCCAGTTCCAGGAGCGGCTGGACACCCGCAGGAGCCCCGTGAGCTGTGCCCTTGTGGCCCTGATGGCTCATGGGGGACCCCAGGGGCAGTTGCTGGGGGCTGATGGGAAAGAAGTGCGGCCAGAGGCACTGGTGCGGGAGCTGAGCCACTGCAGGGCCCTGTGGGGCTGTCCCAAGATTTTCCTGCTTCAGGCTTGCCGTGGGGGTGAGTGGGGTCTGGGGCCCTCCCTGGGGTCAGCCTCCAGCCTGGCTCCTGTCCTAGATGTCCTCACCCAGCCCACCTCCTCCAGGAAGCCTGAGCACTAGTCCTTTTCCTGCCCCACCCCCCTCCCAGCGTCTCCTAGAGGTCAAGTTCGTGAACTCCAGCACTTTGCCCTCAGCACTTTTCATTCAGTGCTCTGAATGTTTCCAGCCTGGCAGACCTGCCCTGGAGTTCTAGGGGCTGGAGGCTGGACCGCTGGAGGCACCTCCAGGATCTGCTGAATGAAAGGACCTGCCTGTCCTCCTTCTCTAGGACACAGGGATGCTGGCATGGGGCCCACAGCTCTCCCCTGGTTCTGGCGCTGGCTGCGGGCACCACCAGTCACCCCCTCCCATGCTGATGTCCTTCGGATCTATGCAGATGCCCAAGGTGGGTCTGTCTGCCTTCTGGAGCCTGGCCTTGGGCAGGGCTGGTGTGTGTGTGTGTGTGTGTGTGTGTGTGTGTGTGTGTGGCAGGGGCTCTGAGCTGGGGTCCTGCTGCCACCTCTGTCCTCTCTTTGCCAAGAGTATGGGAAGAAAAACCATCTGAAACCACAAGGGCTTCTCCCCTACTTGAGCCTCGAAACAACCCTGGAGTTAAGAAGGTGAAATAGCTTTTTTGAGGCCATACAGCTGGTAAGTGGCAGGGCTGAGATTTGAACTCTAATCTGTCTTTTGCGAACATATAATTGAAATCAGCTGCATTGAGCTGGAAGGATTGATGGGGTGGGAGAATGAGTAAAGGACAGCTTTCCACTGCGTGTGCTGCCCTTGAGCCAGACTCAGGGAGACCCCAGGGATGGTGGAGTCCTGGGTGCTGAGTAAATGGAATTGATCCCCCTTGCAGGCAACTCTTCCGGGGGCTTCATGCCAGGGAGCTGTGACCAAGCAGACATCCTAATGGTCTATGCAGCGGCCGAGGGTAAGGGGAAGGGTCATCAAGAAGCCTCGTTACACAGGACCCAGCCTGGCTGGAGGTCGGGTGTGGCTTTAGTGGCAGCTGGGGCTTGACATGTGTGGCACAGGGGCATCCATCTGATTCCCATTAGGTCATTTTCCTTTCATGTTTATTATTATTATGTTTTTTAAATGTATTTCTTTATTGATTTCAGAGAGGAAGGGAGAGGGAGAGAGAGATAGAAACATCAATGATGAGAATCATTGACTGACTGCCTCCTGCATGCCCCCTACTGGGGAATGAGCCCACAACCCAGGCATGTGCTCTTGGCCGGAATCTGGGACCCTTCAGTCCACAGGCCGACGCTCTATCCACTGAGCCAAACCGGCTAGGGCTCATGTTTATTATTTATAACTAGAGGCCCGGTGCACAGATTCGTGCACCAGGTGGGTCCCTCAGCCTGTCCTGCAGAGATTGGGCTGAAACTGGCTCTCTGACATCCTCTGAGGGGTCCCGATTGCGAGAGAGCAGTTCTCGAGTGATGCACCCAGAATCAGGCTCCCTCCTCTCTGGTTCCAGAACCGTAGCTGCCAAGTCACCACAGCTCTGCAGCTCCTGCTTTGCGCATATGCCCCCTAGTGGTCAGTGCGCATCATAGCTACCATTCTGACAGTCGGAGGGTTGCTTAGGCTTTTATATATATAGATAATAGTAATGCTGGTGAGCATGCGTTGCGGGCTGACTGTGCCAAGCACTGTACCTGTAGCATTCCCTCTAGGCTGTATGTTTCATGAGGGCAGGGCAGTTCTGCCTGCTCAGGGCCCTTCCCAGTGCCCAGCAAATAGGATGTTCACAGTGAATGTTTATTTAATATTGAAGTCATCATATATTCATTTGGCAAATATCGAGCAACCACTTGTTTCAGAAACAAGAAGCTCCCGCTCCCTGCCCCGTTTGCTTTCCTGACTCCCAGGGTCTTGTCTACTTGCCCCACTTCCACCATCAATAGGCCCCTGGGGATGGGAAGGCAGCTGGTCAGCCTGTGTGACGCGCTGCCCCGTCCTCTGGCCTAGGCTGTGTGGCCTATCGGGATGAGAAGGGTTCAGACTTTATCCAGACTCTGGTGGAGGTCCTCAGAGCTACCCCCGAGGGAGACCTCCTGGAGCTGCTGACGGAGGTGTGTTGGGGAATGAGGTTGGCAAAGGGGAGAGGCCAGATTCCTCCTTCTTAGCCCTGGCGTCCTGATCGCCTCCTGTGCACCCCGTTGGTGAGGGAAGGATCCCCAACCTCATGGGATGGGACGGCCGAACACATGACACCCACAGCGGCTATCAGTCAGGCACTCACAGCCTGGGGGCGTACACCCTACACCAGGCAGGGCCACCCGGGGCTGCACTCAGGAACAGTGAACCAGCAGGAGGAGTAGGTGACTGGCTTGTCTGAATAGCTTTGCAGGTTGGCAGGGAACTGAAGTCCCTCTGTGTGGAGGCCGGGGTGGAGTGTAGCTGGTCTGGCTGGTGGGGGAACTAGCTGGGTGGGGAGCCTTTCCTGCTGGGGGGTGGGGGACATATCTGACAAGAGCAGGGGGGCTCCCATCTAGTCCTTTGGAGCCCTATGAGGCCCAAAGATATCAAGGCAGCACTTGAAACTTTCGGCCTTACAATACACCGGGTGCCAGACTGGGCACGAGAAGAGCTGGGCACAGGCTGAGTGTGGTCCTCGCAGGTCAACCGGCAGGTGTGTGAGCTGGATGTGCGGGGTCCGGACTGCAATGAGCGCCGCAAGGCCTGCCTGGAGATCCGCAGCTCCCTGAGGCGCCGGCTCTGCCTGCAGGCCTGACTGCCGCCACCCAGTTGTGCTGGCGGAGTGGCCACACCCAGGGCCACCACCGACTCCATCCAGCCTCAGTTCCCGCACCTCTAAATGGGGCATCACAGCAGGTGCTGGGCTCAGCTGCAGACTTGGCCCCTGCCTTCAGGACTGTCAGTCCGGATTGGGCCACAGGCCGGGAACAGAGCATCGCCGGTTAGCGGTACTGTGGTGGGGAAAGCCCGGCGGTGCGGGGAGCAGTGCAGCTCCTGGCCCAACGCCAGCCGGAGCCTGCGGGGAAGCAATCGGAGGGGCCTCCCCGCAGGAGGGGCCGGGAGGCCTGATTGGGTCTGGAATTCGCAAGGGCGGCAGGACCACGTCTAGAGTCGGTGCTCAAGAGCCATTGTAGCCGGGACCGGAGCCCCGCCCACACGGAGCCCGAGGGGCTGGGGCTGGGGGTGGGGCCGGGTGGGCGGCAGAGCTCCTATTCACTCGGCACGAGCATCGGTGCACACCACGCAGGCGCCTAGACAAGCTTTATGGAAAAAGCCGTACAGCGTTTTTTTCACAGGGCCGCGTGGCCTAATGGATAAGGCGTCTGATTCCGGATCAGAAGATTGAGGGTTCAAGTCCCTTCGTGGTCGCTGCTGAGGTTGGTTTTTCTCCCTCCGCTTAATATTTTCCCCCTCCGAGAGCCCGGAGTTACCCGCGGCGACTCCGATGGCACTCCGGGAACCAGCGCCGGCGGGAAGCAACCGGACTGCGGACCCCGGATACTGGGAACTGCATGAAATATAGTTCAGACGAAGAAAACTGTCCCAGAGGAGGTTTCGGACTGTTGAGGGAGGTATCGAATAGAGGATTTGCCCCAGGATGTCTTTTAAAATGTAAGAGATTATTGTGATGAGAAAGATTTGGAAATAGTGGTAATGGCTGCACAATATGTGAATGTAATTGATACCACTGAATCGTACATTTAAAAATGGTTAAAATGGCAAATTTAACTATATATATTTACCACAATAAAATATTTTTAAAAATGTAATAGATTTTACATTTCTTGCACTGAGTGTACCCTTAAATTACTATGTGAATGTATAGAGTGTCCCCAAAAATGTATACACAGTTTGAATAATTATTAATTATTAAAATTCCAATTAATAATTATTTAAACTGAATTAAATCTGAAAAGAAACATCAACTGAGCTATCAGCTGTTAAATGTGGATACATTTTTGGGGACCCCCTATATATTAAAATTTAAATGAAGCGTATGCCCAGGATTGAGCCATCATTTTGCCCAGGAAAAATGTCTCTACCTTTGCAAAGGAATTCTCTCCAAAGGATTCTGGCCAATGACCAAGGTGATGGGACCCCCCCCACCCCCACCCCCCACACACACCAGGGTAAACGCTGGGAGAATGGCACCCCATGATCAGCTCAGCTGACCTGGGGTCATGCATCCTGTCACTTTCTCTTTTATCATTTTGGTGATGTTTCAGTGGTTTACTGAGGGCTCATAAATATAAAGAAGAAAAACGTCATTAAAATAAACATTTTACAGATAAGAAAGAACACCCGTCTTCCGGTAGGAAAGTAAACCCTGGGCTCTCTCAGAGTCTCAGGCTGTGCAGCTGAGCTAGCCAGGTGGACGGGACAGGGAGCCATTATGCAGGGTCCTGCGGACAAAGGCCTAAAGCCCATCAGGCTCTGCTAGAACCCGTGGAGACCTGGGCCCAGGTACCGCTTTGGACCAAAGGGGCCATGTGGGGAGGAGGGTGGAGACAGAGACCTGCACTTTTCTCAAGGCCTGGCTGAGCCCGCTCTCCCCGCGGCTCCTACAAGTTGCATTACCTTCCTGCAGCTCCTTATCCCGGGACCCAGACTCTCCTGAAAGGAGGGGGGAGGGTTCCTCTGGGTTTGATCCCCTGACTTCCTGTACCCTTAGGGAGGGTGGGATCCCAATCCAATGAGATGACTTGACGCCTGCTGTCCCAGGTTTTTGGACTCCACAAGTGCGCAGTCTCTCCTAACCTGAGGATGCTCAGGCGGAAAGCATCTGAGAGGGAGTGCAGGTCGATGCTGAATTGGAGGGGCAGTAGAAGGGCTGGGATGGAACTTGGGAGACCGAGTGTAACCTGCAGGAAACCAGAAGAGATGATTGAGAGATTGGTGTCAAGTTACTGCAGTACACCCTGGTGGCCTGATGGATAGGGCATTGGCCTTCTAAGCCAGGGGTTGTGGGTTCAAGTCCCACTTGGGGTGCAAGGGATTGAATTTTAGAGCCCCCATCCAAAAAGTTATCCAGATGCATCCCTTAGATTTCAGGGGGAAATGTTGGCATCCTTTATACTATTTTAAAAACAATCCATTCTACCTGATGATAAAGGAATAATTATTTCTTTTTTTAGGTATGTTACTTGTATTATGATTACATATGTATTTTTTCCAGTTCTTTTATTTCAAGAAAAATGATTTTAAATATAATGTTATATGCAATAAACACCAATTATTCAAGAAAAATGATCTTACATATAATATTACATGCAAGAATAAAAGGATTTTAAGTATAATAATATTACTAAAATTGTACTAACATAGTATGATCACAAAAGTTGTAGGAAATATTAAAAATCTGCAAATAACAGGATTACTTCTATTATATTCTAGAATATTTTTCCCCCTCTGGATCTATTTTTGTTCGTCAGTTTATGTTGTTCATTAAATTCCACAAATGAGAGAGATCATATGATATTTATCTTTCTCCGACTGGCTTATTTCACTTAGCATGCTGTTTTTAAAGCCTATTTTGTCGGACATGAGTACTGCTACTCCAGCTTTTTTTCTTTTCCATTTGTATGGAAAATTTTTTCCTCAACTTTCATCCTGTGTATGTCATTTGCTTTGAGGTGAGTCTGTTATAGACAGCATATAGTTGGGTCATGTTTTTGTATCTATTCAGCTACCCTACACCTTTTGATTAGAGCATTTAATCCACTTACTTTTAGGGTTATTATTGAGAGGTACGTATTTACTAGTATAGCCATTTTAATTCTGAATGGCTAGGTTTCTTTCTCAGTTTTTTCTTCTCAGCAATCCCTTACAGCAATCTCTTTAGCATTTTTTATGGTGCTGGCTTGGTGGTGATGAACTCCTTTAGCCTTTTTTTTTTTTTGTCTGGGAAGCTCTTTATTTGACCATCTATTTTGAATGATAGCCTTTTGGATATAGTAATCTGTCTGAGATCCTTACTTTGCATTACCTTGAATAGCTTATGCCATTGCCTTCTGGCCTGTAGAGTTTCTGATGAGAAATATGGTGTCAGCCTTATGGGAACTCCTTTGCAAGTAACGCAGTATCTTTTTATTTTGATGTAGCTCCATTTGTTTATTTTCTCTTTAATATCCATTGCCCTAGGAGTTGTGTCGGTGAAGAAATTGCTTCGTCACATGTCTGAGATTTTGCTGCCTGTGCATTCTTCTAGTATTTTTATGTTTTCCTGTCTTACATTTAAGTCCTTTATCCATATTGAGTTTATTTTTGTGTATGGTGTAAGTTGGTGGTCTAGTTTCATTTTTTTTTTTTTGCATGTATCTGTCCAATATTCCCAACACTATTTATTTAAAAGACTATCTTGACTTCATTATGTACTCTGGCCTCCTTTGTCAAATATTAGTGGAACATAATGGCTTGGGTCTATTTCTGGGTTCTCTGTTTGGTTCCATTGGTCTATATGTCTGTTCTTATGCCAGTACCAGGCAGTTTTGAGAACAGTGGCTTTGTAAAATAGCTTGATATCTGGAATTGTGATCCCTCCAACTTTGTTCTTTCTCAGGATTCTGGGGATGTGCCCGCAACCAAGATACATGCCCTTGAGTGTAATCGAACCTGGGACCTTCCAGTCCGCAGGCCGACGCTCTATCCATTGAGCCAAACCGGTTCTGGCTATTCTGTCGGTATCTTAATGGGGATTGCATTGAACCTATAGATTGCTTTGAGTAGTATGGACATTTTAATGATGTTGATTCTACCAATCCATGAACATGGTATATTCTTCCATTAGTTTATGTCTTCCTCTATCTCTTTTTTTCAACGTCCTGTAGTTTTCTGAGTACAGGTCTTTTACCTCCTTAGTTAAGTTTATTCTTAGGTATCTTAATTTTTTTATCTTTTGCAATGGTAAAGGTGATTGTTCAGTTTCTCTTTCTGTAAGTTCATTATTGGTGTATAAAAAAGCCATAGATTTCCTGGTGTTAATTTTGTATCCTGCTACATTGCCAAATTCATGTATTAAGTCTAGTAGTTTTTGGTGGAATCCTTGTGGTTATCGTGTCATCTGTGAATAAGGACAGTTTTACTTCTTCTTTTCCAATTTGGATGCCTTTTATTTCTTCTACTTGTCTGATTGCTATGGCTAGCACATCCAGTACTATGTCAAACAGGAGTGGTGAAAATGGGCATCCCTGTCTTGTTCCTGTTCTTAGAGGAAATGGTTTTAGTTTTTGTCCATTGAGGATGATGTTGGCTGTAGGTTTGTCATTATATGGCCTTTATCATGTTGAGATATGCTCCCTCTATTCCAACTTTGCTGAGAGATTTTATCAAAACTGGGTGTTGGATTTTGTCAAATGCTTTTTCTGCCAGCCTGTTCGCCCCTAACTGCCCTCCCCTGCCGGCCTGGTCACCTCTAACCATCTCTGCCTGCCAGAACATGATCTAGAGTAAAACTAGAAGTTTCCTATATATAACACATGCCTGTAGAAGAGATGACCACTGGAGATTTGCCATCCATCCATACAAAAACATAGTTCTGCAACATGCATAATTCAATTATGTATTGGATTTTTAACAATATCAGCCACGAAGCTATAAGATTATTTTATGGCTGTCATAAAATGTCCCTGTCTCTGAACACGACTTAGGCTGAAAGTTTAAAGTCTTGATCTTGTCATCATCTTTCCGTAAGCAAACCAGTGCATGCAGTATCCTTTCCATGCCACAGTCCTTGTAGTCACCTTTACCACCATAACAGTCCAGTGCAGCAGCCACGTGGTTCCCCAGAGCACTTGCTTCAGTCAGCACGCTGTCATTATCAACCAGGTGATTGTGGCTTGACCATGAGGCCACTGTGTGCCATGAATTACCAGTATCCCGTTTCATGTTAGCAAGGAGCTCAGTACTCCGTTCAAGGCCAAGTTCATTACTGAATTAAGGTACATAAACAATCAGAAAAACCATCCATATGGGGGTGAGGGAAATGGGGAGAGGTTGGTAAAAGGTACAAACTTTTAGTTGCAAGTTGTGGGGATCTAATGTATAGAATGATGACTATAGTTAATAATAACATAGTGTATACTTGAAATTTTCTGAGAGAATAGATCTTGTGTTCTCAACACATGCGCGGTAAACCAGGTAAAGTGATGGATGTGTTCATTAGCTTGATTGTTATAATTATTTCACAATGTATAGTTATATCAAATCATCATATTGTGTACCTTTAATATATATGATTTTTGCTTGTTAGTTATACCTCAATAAAGCTGGGGGAGGAAGAAAATTCACTCATTATTTTAACAGATTATTAATGAAAAAAATGATTAATAAGGTATAAAGAGTTGTTAATGAGGCAGAAAGGGAACACAGAGAAAGCAGCTACCACCTATATAGCTGGGAGACCAAGGGAAGAGGTGAAATTTTTTAAAGCATTGATTTGAGAGTGAAGAGAGAGAGAAAGAGATCCATCTGCCACTCCACCCACCCATGCATTCATTGCTTTTTGCATGTGCCCTGACCAGGGGTCAAACCCACAACCTTGGTGCATCGGGAAAACACTCTAACCAACTGAGCTACCTGGCCAGGTCAAGGTGAGATTATTATTATTTATTTTTAATGTATTTTATTGACTTCAGAGAGGAAGGGAGAGGGAGACAGAAACATCAGTAATGAGAGAGAACCATTGATCAGCTACACGCCCCACACTGGGGATTGAGCCCACAACCCAGGCATATGCTCTGACCTGGACTTGAACCATGACCTCCTGGTTCACAGGTCAACACTCAACCACTGAGCCATGCCAGCCAGGTCCAAGGTGAGATTATTATTTTTAAATATATTTTATTGATTTTTTTACAGAGAAGAAGGGAGAGGGATCAAGAGTTAGAAACTTTGATGAGAGAGAAACATTGATCAGATGCCTCCTCCACACCTCCTATTGGGAATATGCCCGCAACCAAGGTACATGCCCTTGACCAGAATCGAACCTGGGACCCTTCAGTCCGCAGGCCGACACTCTATCCACTGAGCCAAACCGATTAGGGCCAAGGCGAGATTAGTAAAAATTAGAAGCTTGGAGAGGGTTTAGGGAGCTCTGAAAAAGAGGTGCCACTCAGCTTGTGTGGGTGTTTTTGAGCTCAGAAAAGACCTGGAATGCAGATCTCTGAGGAGGGGACTTCAGTCAGCTTGCACTGATGTTTCTAATGAGCTATGATGAGGCTGATTCTGTGAGTGTTGGGAAAACTTCAAACTGGATTCAGCTGCAATTTCTGGAATGCACTGTTGTTGCATGGATAAAAAACAAAGGGAGGGGGGTGCAGTGGGAACAGGAAGGAGGCGATAGGGAGTCCTTTCTCTTCCAGCCTTTCAGTCTCTCTAGTCCCCCCTCTTGGCAAATCTACACAGTCTCCCTAAGTAGGGTCTAGAAGGGTGAGTTTGAGGTGGAGAGGTAAGCGTGTAATAACTGGCACACCTGCCCTATCCTGCTTCTCCTACTTCCTTTCAGATGCCTTCTGTCTCAGACTTGCTTCTAGGAAACTTGTCCAAAAACAGATGGAGCCAGACTTCAAGAATGAGGTTCTAGCCCTAGCTGGTTTGACTCAGTGGATAGAGTATTGGCCTGTGGACTGAGGGGTTCTTCCCTGGTTCGATTCCAGTCAACGGCACATGCCGGGTTGCAAGATCGATCCCCAGTAGGGAGCATGCAGGAGGCAGCCAATCAATGATTCTCTCTCATCATTAATGTATCTATTTCTCCCTCTCCTTTCC